GCAGACAGCTGGGTAACAGACAAATTTGCTCCTAGCCAGGACAGCAAGTTACCTGTGGACAAGCAGATTTAAAAAGCCCAAACGACAAAACCAGCAAACCTTCTCAAAATGCAGTTTGCGGCAAATCCAGCTAAAAGCTCTTCAAAGCCAACCTTAAAAGAGCTGTCCAAAAGCCACCCAACGTAAGAGCAGGCGATAGACCTTACCCTGAATACATCTTTATGAGATTTTTTTGCTATTCTAATATTGCATTGCTTTTCACAGCAGGTAAAAAGCCATCGGCATATCCTGCCTTTTTAAAGCCATCGGCTCACATTACTCCGATTATCTTATCAGAGACAGGGAGAAGCCAAGACACAAATGGCAACGATGTTGCGAGGAACAGCAAATCGTGATACAACCAGGTGAAAACCAACCCAAGATTGTTTTGAAGTCGCGGTAATTTAAGAACATACTGCCACTTCACTGCGAACAAGCTGGTGATTTTAATCATAGGATACAGGTTAGCTCAGTTGGTTAGAGCATGGTGCTAATAACGCCAAGTTCACAGGTTCAGTCCCTGCTCACTGCAGGGGGGTTGGGCTCGATGATCTCTCAAGGTCCCTTCCAACCCAAAGCATTCTATGATTCTATGGTGCTAATAACAACCAGCCCTGAATTCTCCGCTGCTTGAAAACGATTCACAGACTCGAACCACCCCCTGAGGGCAGCGGATCCCCCCCCTCCTGCCGCGCAGCAGGACGCAGAGCAACCCCGGGGCTCCACGACCTTCGCCGCGCGCGGCACCGCACCCCGCGAGCCAAAGGACATCAGCCGCGAAGCTCCCGGCAGCCGCCCGCGCAAGGAACCACCGACAGCCTAATAACCACCTGGTAGAAAAGGCGGAGGAGGGAGAAAAGAGCGCGACGGGATGATTACGGGTATCCCTAGCTGTTGCACATCACCGCATCACAATAAGCTGCTGATTTATCTTCCCACAAGGCAGGGCAGCGCTGCCATCTCCGTGTCGCGGCAGGCGAGACGATTCCACGTGTCGTGACTTGCTGCAAGCCACGAAGGAGATCTCGGGCTGTGATGTGAACTGAACTGAAACCTCGCTACGTGCTCCCGTGCTTCTCCCTCCAGGCTACGCCCTTTCAAAGCTGGAGAGTGAAACTAAAAAGGAAACAAAGAAACCAAGAATATTTTTAGGAGTAATAAAATTATTTGAATCTAGGATGTGCTTTGCCCCAAACCGTAGGCAGGCAGGCAGTGACCGACACCGATGGCAGCACACTCCGGCCCGGCCATCGCGCGCTACAGAAGAAATGCCGGGCATTGCATCGTCGAGCAAAGCCGAGCGTAAATTCAGGGGGAAAAGAGCAGATCTAAAGGCGAACAACTGTAATGCTGCTTCTCCTTCCAGGCAAGGCTGTCGTGGAAGTTTTCAGCGGAGGTTAGACCGTACGCCAACCAAGTGCTCTGTTACCGTGCTGGCAACTTCACAACCTCTAGAAAAGTCAGACTGATGATTGAGGAATAACATTTACTTTGGCAAGACGTGCTCTTAGCATCCTTACTATACCGAGAAACGCTTCAAAAGAACAACTTTAACAGTAGCTAAAAAAGATGTCCTCCTTTTAAAAATATACCTAACCTGGAATTAATATAATACAGTTTTGTTAGGTTTTTTTTTCCCCCCCGAGAAGTTTGTACTCTTCAAGATGATGATGTGGAGCCAAGCCGAACCAGAAATTCTTTACAACTGTGCTCCTGAGCTGACGCTCACTGGAGACCACAGGACGCTTTCCATCGGTTGTAACGAGCAGTGGTGCCGCTAAAGTAACTTACAATGAAGAAAATACACGTAATAGAAATTATGCATTTACCTGCTCCAAAAATACCTATAATGGTAGCGTGCTGTGTACGACATGCAATATGAAACACACAGTGCTAGTTATTCTCCCCCACAATGAACTTTCAAAAATTGGATTTGTCACAAACAACTTGGAGCTGCGAAGAGTTAAGTGACAGCGACTCTGCATCAAACTCCCACACGTAACTATTACACCAACAAGCGCTAAAATAGAGACGACAGACCTGGCAAGCACACCACGATATATACGGTTACATTACTGAGGTACCTGTGTGAATCCTGCATTTTTTTTGCTTTTTGGCAACTATATTCTGAAACGGGATGTTCTCCAGGAGCAATCGGGTAGTAAATATTTCACAGTAAAACAACGCATATGCACACAAATCGGTAATACACATCACCATCGTACATCACAGACTGTAACTATGTAATCTATGCTTTGCCCTCCATTTGTTACTCCGAAAATGCACGGCTGAAGGTTACATTTGGGCTGCCTTGACACTGGGGTACGTCTGAAACAGTCGGTTGAAACACAAGTCGTTCTGCACACCATAAATAGGCCTGTAATAGAAATCGCACGAGAGGGAAATGTCCACGTAGTTCCCTGCATCTGAAATCCTCACAATGTCAGACTGCTCACACGGGTAACTTTGCTCATAAGAGGGCAATCCCAAGCAACGGGGTTTCTACAGCTTCCTTCCAAAGACTACTCTGCACCTCATTTCTCCCTTTCTTATTTTAATTCCATTATTCCATGCTGCATTTCCTAGAACTATCGGAATCAATTCCTTTCTGTATGCGTAGGTTCACATTTTGCGATCTAGTATCTCTTCCTCTCAAATCAACGATCATGTGAAATTATTACTCAGTCCTCAAATCCATTAGATGCCAGCAGATGGAACAGAGCTATAAATGACTCCGTGTTTTCCAGAGCAGCATTCCTTGGGTCCATATTTAGTGCAGACCCATTGAGGCCAGGTTTGGTTCTCACACAGGTTAGTAGTCAGGTAGTGACTTCACAGAAGCATTGAAACAGTCGTTTATCTGGAGAGGAGGTGGAGAGATATTTCCACTAAAGACAGCGGCACTGAAGGCTGCGATACAAACGTGACATTACCTGTTCGCCTGGCACCTACTTAAAAACTTTTACCATGCACGGGCCAGTCGTGCTGATCTTCATCTTGCCTGAACCAAAGTGACAGCCCTAAATTCTGCCCTCAGCATATTCACACGGAGCGGTGAAGGTTGTTGTGTGGGGTTTATTTTTATAAACCAGCTTCGGTGCGTATTATTTAAAAAGCCTCACACAAACATTATTTTAAACTAAGCTTTAAGGGGACATCTCAAAGGGCTGAAAGTAGTTACCAAAACTAGGATACAAAAATTCCCTCTGTTTTTCAGTCCATCCTCCCTCCCTAGCAAATGATTTTTTGCTGAGAGATGTCTAGCATCAGCATTTTAAAGAAAAAAAAAACAAAACAAAGTGGGAATCATCCTGTACTTTACCTAAGCTGCCTTTCATGTTGATGGAAGTTTTCTCTTCCTGAATCAACATGCTTTACATAACTGCTAGCTTCCCACAGCAAACTCTGTTAAGAGCCGGTGTTCATTAACTGCAAGCAGATCCATCAAAGCCTTCACAAGTGAAATCACGCCTCTCGTGAAACCGACGGCAAGACTCCCAGAGACCTGAACAGGATTGAAGTTCCAACGCAAATGTCCCTTTCAACTGTCTGCAGCATCAGATTCTTTGACTGAACGTTCCTAGAGAAGAGCTTAATAGAAGTATCACCCTTAAGACAAGTCAGGTTTTATAAAGCACGTGAATATTCAATATACTAAGTGTTTAAGATGACACTGATAATACTCTTAAATATTTGTCTTGTCGACTTATTAAGTAAAATGTTCTAGTATATATCAGATTAGTTTTTCCTCAGACTGATGTCAAAACCCACGGTTACTCAATACACACTTTCAAATAAACACTTGAAGTTTTCTCTGACAAACCAACCAGATGAAATCTTTGACCAAATTTTATTGCTGTTACTTGACAGAGCTTCACATAACATGCTATCAAACTTCACAACGGCTCCCCTTCGCGAAAGGCAGTGCTGCTACAAGCAAGCGTGTGTGGCGGGGAACCCTGTTTGTTCCTCTCACCTTACTGAAAATTGTTTGTGGTGCTTTTTTGGAGAACAACCCATTTGGAATGACCATTCTACCGTACAAACCGACATTTGATTTTCTTTGAGCTCTTCTGTCTGTTTTCATCAGTGTGGCACTAAAAGAAGGACACCAGTAAATGTTCAGTCTTTTATTTAAAAACTATAAACAGTCACCAAAGTAAATAAAGCCATTCTATAACATAAACTGTTAGGTCTATATTTTTACTGCACATCCTACGGACACAGCAGAAATGGTGGTCGGGAGGTCTTCCACATTTTTGGATGCTAATAGAACAGGCAATAGGCAGTTATAAATGGATACACTTCACGCTGGGAAAAAAAGACAATTTAAGGAAGTGAGCAA